TTCAAAGTGGTGTAGGGATCCCAATGAAAATGTGAGAACAGAAAGTTACAATAGAGTACAAAAATTTATCCTGGTGCTGGTGAGTATGCATTCCATACGAAAAACTTTTTACTATTTTGAATTCGAACCGTGAGAATTGTGGTTGTCTTGTCCGATGAGATTTCTCGTCTACTCTTTTGTGGTCTCGTTAGTACAAACTATGACACCTCGTCTTTCGACGGTTGCTCAGGGGTTCACGGAACGACCAAGGGTAAAACCCACTCATGTTGCGGCGTAAAATACGATACGAAGGAGTTACACTTCTTATCCCTGAGATGGAGTGGGCGTGGCATTTGGAAATGGCACAGGATGGGCTACTTATGTTATATTTCAACTCGAAAAAACCGTCATTTTATTCTGCGTCGGACAAAGTCATGACCAGAATTGTCTCAGAATTAGAACATCTCACTAAAAACACAGCCATCGCCATATTTGGTTGAAGTACGCAGCCTAAGGGATCTTAAGCGTACGTTTACGGCGTTAGCACCTTACAATTGTGATCTCTGTAAGCGCGCGTGACGGAGCAGAGATCGGAGCGTTGCCTGGGCGGTGCACCTGTTTCACCAATGAGGCAATGCTGAGTCCACAGCAGTTGATGGAAAACGCTGCCATGGCAGTGCGCCAATCCACGCCTCCTCGCACGCCTTCCGTCTGCACGGGAAAGGACTGTATTGACTGAGCGGCTGAGAGGGAAATCCCAGTTTTTTTCTGTTTATTGTGGACTCACCGGGGAAGCAGCTGAGAGGAAATTCCCAATGTTTTTCTATTTATTGTGAACTCACAGGCTGAAGCGGCCATTTCCAACATGATGAACACCCTTTAATGCGACTTTAGAGGCTAATCTCGAATCTGCTGTCCTGATACAGTTTTCTTTATGTCTTCAATTGAGGAGGCTTTCTTCCTCACAAGCGACAGTTCACAAAAAGAAAAACGCGGCAGCGCATTCGATCCTGTCACATCAGCCTGCCAACTTAGCCTCCTTACCACTCGGCCATGATTCCGCACTTCAACCCTCTGTTAACGAGCCAAACATGCTGACATGGTCCTGACTGAGCTCAAAAGCATTAGCCTCAAAACCCTTCATTAAGCCGTTTAGAGAAACGTTCTGCAAATTTGAAGATGGGTTTGAGACTAGCTATCAGAGAAATCACTATTGGGTATTACAGGTACAGCGGCGAACGGTCAGTCAAAGGCGACGTGAAGAAACTGAAACTATCGTAAGATTAGGAAAGGATTTGGAGACAGCTCAAGAAGAGAATCGGTTGATCAAGGCTAGATCCTCAACCTTGGAGAGGAATTTGGAACGAGTTGAAATGGAGGTGCACAAATATGCTGCTGTGAGTCATTATTCTGTCATCTCTGGTTCGCCCAAATATTTATTCTCTTGTGTGCTTCATTGTTCCGATAAACCCTAGATATCTCGGAGATGGGGAGGGCGTGTCAAGGATTTGTTGATGCGTGGGGCGCGTTTAATACTCTTGGCCAGCAGATGCACCGCGGACCAAATAGCGTCCGCCGAGGTGGTTCCGGAGCGCTCCCGTAGAGTCAGCGGACTAAGGAAAAGTATCGATGACCGATCTAGCGTCTGCGCCGGTCCGATCAACCTCTACCAGTGCTCACCACTGTACTAGCAGGGCCGTAGCGGAAGTATAAGGATATCGCTAGCGTCTACCAGCGTCCACCAAGCGGTCTATCCAACGGTTCGGAGATGTGGAGTAAGAGCACGGCGCGCTAGAGAGAAGTACAGACAGCTGGGTGACCGTTCATATGGACCGATACTCTCCACCAGCAGTCTGCTGGCTGGTTCGCTGGACTGAATCGCATGGCAGGACCATGGCAGACGCTGGATTTGATAGGCTATACTTCCCTAGACCGCTCTATCCCCCGTCACTGCTGAACACTGGCTGAAAGCTTGCACGGCTCGCTGGGATTTGCTGATCTACTGAGGGGGGGGGGTGGGGTGTCGGAAAAAAAGTCACTTTGACCTAGTGGAAGGTCGCATATATTCAGCAAAGGTTTTGCAGCGCAGAGAGAAGACGTGATACGAGTACCAGGGCGGAAGATACCCAAGATGTTCTTCGATAAGCCCGGACTGAAGGTGAGCGTTGGCGGTTACATCGAGCAACTCGAGAAGAGTATCCTTCCCACACTGATCGCGCTCCTACCTTCTTGGGAAACTTTTTGTACTGCGCCACAGCATTGGGGTGCGCACGACGTGGAAATGCGAAAGGCGCTTGGTAGAAACTCTGCACCTACTTTGCGAATGGAAGGGGGCTGAGTGACCTAAAATGAATATGAATCTCAAAGTAGGATCACCTGTTCTGGCATTCACCTCAATTGCCGCGGCTCGGGCGGAGTTCAAGCAGGGTGGTCTACGGTGGCGGAGAAATCAACGATCTCGCTCAACTCCGGTACCCACTCACTTTCGCGCGGCCGAATCTCTCGATGGCGCTCCTCCAGAAGGCTGTGGCAGGAGTAGTCCGAACGCTTATATGTATTTAATATGCTCTTTAATATGGTGGTAAAAATGTCCGATCAGAATTCTAATAAAGTGTAACTTATAGCGCCTCGAAAGTCAATGAAGGAAAGTGACTTTTTTGCCCCCCCCCCCCCCTGTATACTTTCCTAGTCGCTGACTCTGCGGGACGCTCGGAACACTGGCGGAGTGCTTATTGGTCGCGTGGGGACGCTGCGCGAAAGTATGAACAGGCCTAAGAGTCTATATCTGTTCATAAGTATGGCAAGCGGCGGCCGATGTTGCACAAGCAAAGCAGAGACTGCCCAAATGGGAGTCGTTACAACTTTTGCCCTTTGCCACTTGAATCGGCAGCTGTCCATAAATACGCAGTCGCGTTTCCCCGAAGTACATGAGCCCTGCCTTCCCATCTCTTGAGCTATGATATGTACGTCAATACATCCACTAAGTCCCCGCTCACTCTATACTTTCCATCTTCATCTGTGGTTTTCTTCACTGACCTTTATCGTCTGACGTTTTTTTTTCAGAATCGTTTTTTCCATGTTGTATTTCGCTTTTTCTTTTCTTCCTTTCCAAAGTATATTAGCATATTTCCTCCGTTGTGAAAATTTTCCCGTTTTTCAGCCCTTCTCGTCTAGTAACCTTTCCAATATCTTCAAGAATGTAACATGATAATATTTTCAGAATGAAGTCGACATCAAGACAAGCTTCAAGCTGGAGAAGCAGCAACTAACAGACGAGATTGAGAACCTTCGGAGGGAACTGTCTGCTGCTTTGACGGAAAACGCTGAGTTAAAAGCGGAAAAAGTCGATCTTCAGAAGGACTGCAAGCTGTTTAGACAACGAATCGCCAAATTTGAGGTACAACTCTGTTGTTTCTCCTCTCAGTACATTTTCGAAATTCAACTCGTGAAGTACGGGAAAACGTCCGCCTTAAGCATTCTTTGGGATGCATTGTGCGATATTCTGTATAGTATTAGAACCCTTTCGGCTGCGTTCACCAGCGACCAATAGCGTCCGGCAGCGTCAGCGACTAGGAAAGTATATACATATATCGGTCCGCCTCCAGCGTCCGAGAGAGGATAGTATGGCGCCGTAGGAGGGTAGCAGACAGCTGGTAGAATGTAGAGAGATAGGAGGGAGCAGACTGCTGGTATAGTGTGCGCGATAGGAAGGGACCAGTTGTCGGCTACCTTCCTATCACGCCATACTCTCCTCTCCCGGACGCTGGCAGACGCTGTGCACGCTGGCAGACGCTAGATCCTGACCTATCCTAGCCTTCAAAAGGCAGGTGGACGTTGGTAGACGCTAGATCTATATCTATCAGAACTAGGAAAAACAAAATATTCGGAAAAGAATACACTAGTTCATACATTAAACGCTTGTTCATACTTTGTTATACTTTCCTAGTCGCTGGCGCTGCCGGACGCTCGGAACGCTGGTGGACGCTATTGGTCGCTGGTGGACGCTGCCGCAAAGTATGAACGCAGCCTCACTCGTATTTCTTGCTTTCCTCGTCTTTTCTCTTTCTCCCGCATTCAATGTTCTCCTTCGCCTCTTGCTTCTTCGCATTTTCGTCCAGTGCTGGTTCAAATGCGAGAGGGGTCCTAAGGTTCAGTGCTGGTCCAAATGCAGAGAGGGGTCCTACTCAGGATTTTTCGGCGGCTTCGCCTCTTTCTTTGTTCGCCGAATAGTCACTTATCGGCTACAGAACTATATGTGAACCACAGTACCCAGTTTACTCTCACGGGAGGTGACTTTGAACTGGAGCCTAAGCCGAATGGTCGGATTAGAGAAATGTCTACAGTTGAGTGACACTTTCGTGAGGAGCAGTCTGGAAAAACTACCGGGGTCCTCTCAAATTCTACGCCAAGATAACAAATTTATTGTGATGCTCTATTTTTCCAGATTGCCAACATAGAAAGTCCATCAACTCCCAAAGAGGACTCTACCTCCTCTCGCAGGAAGATGTCAGAGGATTCAAGAGGTGATGAGCTGGGGAAATATGAGAAGTTGTATAAAGAAGTGAGTTCGTTCTTCTATGCTAATTGTCATGCAATTGATATCGTCGCAGTCAGACTCACATTCCCTAATTCTTTTTTATTTTACTAATTCTTTTTTGCTTTTTCCTATGATCTTTTCTTTTTCCACTTATCTCCTCCTTGAACATCTCGATGTTTTTGACTAAACGTTAATAGTTCCGTAGTTTAAGAGACTGTAGGGACATACGGTATCCTTGCACTACTGCTTCAGCACTTTTCTTTTCCTTTTTTTCTGACCGTACCCGCGCCATATTCCTCGCAGGTCGATCTATTCCATATGCGGGGCGGGTTCGCAACTTTAAAATAATTCCCTTTTGCTATCAAAAATGCGCAGAATCCAGGCGGAAGGGTTGTGATAGCTGGATATTCTCCAGGTTCCCGTCAGCTACTCGATACGCGATTGCGTTCTGGACATGTTAACAGCCCTCCGCTGCGCTATCTGGGCGATCAAGAATCGCAAGAAGGATGCTGGCATGCTGCCGAAATCAAGCTGTAGGAAATATTGGTGCTCCAGTCATACATGAGAGGGCGCAGAAAGTATGGCGGCCGTGGTCGGGCGTATGGTTAGACGTGTGGCGTGCTGCGCGTCCGTGTACGGCTTCGGGGCGGGCGCACCCATGAAGAAACTCAGCTATCACGACCCTCCAACTTCATTTACATGCATATGGCGAAGTGGTTCAACTTCGCACATAGACCCTGGACCCTATCTCGCACTTGAGAAGAGTCCACCTGACTGACAATCGTGTGGACTATTTTCAGTTCAAGCAAATTGAGACGGATTTGCATACGGTGCTTGGAATCAAGGAA